TAAACGGTTGATCTTTAAAGCCTTGAACCCGTTAGTTTTAGGATCATAAGAAACCAGAGCTTTCTTGTTACACTCCAACATAATCTCACCGTTCTTCAAGACACGTAAAACCCGTATGCATCTTCCCACCCAGCTCGAAGCAGTATCTTCAATCAACATTCCTAGAGGAGCACTATTCTGCCCATCAAAGAAGAACAAAGGAACATAATTTGTTGTAATACAGAATTCTTTTACCCAAGATTCCTTCACATTGTATTCCTTCATCACCCAGATGTCCAATTGGCCACCATGGATGAATCCAGCAACAGATAGACACCCATTAAACACACAAAGATGATAACCTGTAAAGTAAAATCCAATACAAGGCAGTGGGATTTTCTGAAAGCTTCCTCAGCCAACTCAAAAGAGATGATGCAGGGGTAGCCCAGGCTTGGAGGAGCCCAATGCTGTGACCCTTCCACCAGAGCCTCTGGTCGTTTTGATTCAAATAGAAATGGTGAAGCTCCCTTCTTCCTCCACTCTGTTGTTCCAATGGTAAACACCTGAACCTCTGATCTGTGGTGTGGACAGTCACCATCGCTTCTTGCCCTGTCATGACCAGGTCATAGAACACAATTCTAATCACTTTGAATTCACTACTCCTTGGATGAAACCCAAATCATAAAACGATTGGGGATAGGTAACTCTATAGAATGAGGATCTCTAACAAAACGATTGCAAATCTGCAACCCACGAACTTCCTTTGAACAGTAGTACTTAGGAATGGATATGCATAACAATCAAGTGGATACCAATATAAGAGCTTGGTTGAATTCCAAGTGGATGTGATCATGTTATCACCTACAATTGAACCTAGGACTTGGAAGATAAAGAACAAGATACAATGTATACATACAAAAATCGACATACAGAAAGCAAAAGTAGAGCAGAAGATCTGGACATACATATTTGAACTAATGAGTTTGTACTAACATTAACATACTTACAAAGTAGGGATGGAGAAGAGATTTGGGATGATATGCGTCACCAAAGCAAAGCGTGGAATTCATGAGTCCATCCTTTTATTAATGGATTTTATTTGATCTAGATTTCACTCATTCACAATGACATGCTCTGCCTCTATTTTTTTTACTAAAAAATAATATAATTATAAATATAATATAGTATTATAAATTTTATGATCCGATCTCTAGTCTTCTCATCTTTCCATTTTCTTTCCCTTTCTGTATTCCAGTTTTTCCCTTTTTATCCACCTTTCTTTTCTCTTTTCCTCTCTTTCTTGTTTGCATAGAACTGGTAAATTCATGGTTGCTTTTGCTGAGAAAAGAGAAGGTAGAAAAGGAAGTGCCTGGAACCAATTGGGTAACCCACTCATTTGAAGAGTCTTGAATCTGTTTTCCACAGGATCATAAGAAACCAGAGAACTGTTGTTGTACTGTAACAGAATCTCACCATTCTTCAGTGCACATATAAGTTCGGGGAATATTCTTGAGTCGCTCGGCCATCCATCAGCAAAAGAGGGATCAAAGGAGAATTGTTTTACCCAAGATTCCTTAACATGGTATTGCTTCATCGCCCAGATGTCAAAATGCCCATTTTCAACTAACCTAACAGCCCATAGACACCCATTGAGCACGGAAAGACGGTACCTACGTGACACAAATAGTTGACAAGGTGGGTGCGGAATTTCTTCAAACACCTCATCTGCAAGCTCGAAGGAGATAATGCCAAAGATAGGACCGTCTCCTTCCATCCCAACAACAGTCACCCAATGGAGAGATCCTTCAACTAGAGCCTCAGGTGGTCCGATTCCATATGCCAATTGAGGAGGCGGAGCTCCTTTATTTCTCCACTTTGTTGTTCCTATGGTAAACACCCGAACCGCACGGTCTACTCCCGTCACAATACTGACCACCTTGAATTCTCCTGACCTCGGATGAAACCCAAATCCAAAGACTTCTCTTTGATTCACAAATCGATGCGCTGGTGGGACTCTCACAGCGTCTCCAACAAAAGGATTGTAAATTAGCAGACTCTGAGACACCGATAAACCACCGATTAAGGATAAGCATAACAGCCCGTTACAAGAACCCACCAGATTATGAACTTTTGAATGCTGTGGTGGATCGATTTTCCAAACCCTTCTACTACAACCCACTCTATCCACAAAATAGAGTTGCAAGGCCCAGGAGACAGGGGAATTGTAGTTGAACAGAATCAGACATGGATCTGAGTCGCTTACACCATTACGGAACATCAGAGGGAGTCTTGGATCGGTGATTAAATCATAGCCGGCATGGGAAGTGGTCCTGAAGTGGATCAGAGAGGTGATCGGGAGTCTTGATAGGATTTCGAGCAGAATCTCTGGTGGGAGAAGATGAAGATCTATCTGGACCATCGCTCTGTTGGAAGGATCATCTGCGAGGTTGACTCTTCTTCTCTGTCTTTCCTCTTCGGCATCTGTTTATGCAAAGAGAAAGGAAACGTGAATGATGTAGGTTTGCATCTGGAAGAGGACAGTAGGAGGTAAACTTTCCATCATGAGCCATGGATGTTTAATGATTATGAAAATTCATTGCTGTTGGTTGTTAAAAACTGTAGGACGAGGTATGTCAATGCTTCTGATATAATGGTCCTT